GTGACAAAGGAATTACATAAAGGTAAGATTAAATCCAGCCTGCAAAAAATGGTTTCCTAGTACTCTTAACTCTGTATGATCGAAGTTGGCAGCAGTACAGTAAAGCCTCGGGTGACGAGCAGCCCCCACTTACGAGCATTTCCGGTAACGAGCGAACCACTAACAGAAAGTTTGTTTCGATTGACGAGCTTCCGCTCAGTTAATGAGCTGCCTATTACCCCTTAAATATACTGAACTAAACGGACTTTCTCAGGATTAAATCCGGAGCAAAATAAAGTGAAAAAATACATGCTAAACTACCAGATCCAATTTCGAGCATGGCCTCTGCATGAATTCCAAACTGCATGACTGTATGACGAGTCTATATAAGCAACTTTATGAAATATCCCGATTGCCAACGGCACGATGAAAAGCCGGTAAGTGAAGAAAATTGTCATTATAAAAACCGATAACCGGATCTCGAAGCGTCGGTGTCTCTCGCAGTATCGCGTTGATTACTTTAAATAGAAAAACCACTACAGCTAAAGAAAAGTGCCCTGGCCGTTAGTAGAAAGTTAATCTGGCAGTTTGATGTAACACCACTGAAGACGACTGTGTTACACACCCTGCGTGTAGTGTTGAGAAAAAGGCATCGACTAACCCACATTGCTGGCCGGACTTGCGAGTCAGACTAAAGACGCAACTGAACGAGTACCTTCGTAACGCGATCATGAACAGGACAACGATCCTGTGGCTAATTGTCTAGAGTGTTGGACTTTTAACCAACAGGTCACGAGGTCGAGCCTCAGATGTTGAAAAATCTGGGGTTGAGTGTTACTGACTAGCTGATGATGGTTAGTAAGCCAGAAATTACCATTCCAGTCTTTGTCTCTAATGTCATTTTGCCTATACGAGAAGAAAGAGATTACAGTGGAGCCTCGGGCGACGAGCAGCCCTACCTACGAGCATTTACGGCAAAAACCCAAAGCCTTCTACTCCTACATCAGAAGTTCTACAAAGAACCGT